TGTTTCTTTAAACAGACTTGTAACAATTTTATCAGCAAATATATCTTAACATGAATTTTAAACATCTGAGGCAACAATTATTTTCAAATAGTTGCATGTTTTACCTTGAAAAATTATACTATGTACAAATACTGTATACTTGTCTATGTATCTATAAGTATACAGTGACTATATATGTGTGTATGCGTTTTCTCTCTATATATACACACACATATGTGTGTGTGTATATATACATATGTGTATCTATATATCGATATCTTTTTCCATATCTATGTATAGATACAGATATCTATCTTGTGGGGGAGAGGGAGAATGATAGTGGATTTCAGCTAGATGTTTCTATCTTATTTTTCTTGTTATATTGAGATTGTCACTGCAGAAAATCATTACAAATTCTCTACTTAAGAAACCTCAGGGCTTCCCTGGTGGCGCAGTGGTTGAAAGTCCGCCTGCCGATGCAGGGGACACGGGTTCGTGCCCTGGTCCTGGAAGATCCCACATGCCGCGGAGCGGCTGGGCCCGTGAGCCATGGCCGCTGAGCCTGTGCTCCGCAACGGGAGAGGCCACAACAGTGAGAGGCCCGCATACCGCAAAAAAAAAAAAAAAAAAAAAAAAGAAACCTCAACTTCTTAACAAATACTTAAAACCTCATTACATAAAGAGTGATATGAACATGTTAATGAATATTCTTTAGTTAATTAAATCTTGTAATTTATGCTATATCTTCAGGATTTTTCCATTTAAAAAGTAATCAGGGGGCTTCCCTGGTGGCACAGTGGTTGAGCGTCCACCTGCCGATGCAGGGGACATGGGTTCGTGTCCCGGTCCGGGAAGATCCCACATGCCGCGGAGCGGCTGGGCCCGTGAGCCATGGCCGCTGAGCCTGCGCGTCCGGAGCCTGTGCTCCGCAAGGGAGAGGCCACAACAGTGAGAGGCCCGCATACCGCAAAAAAAAAAGTAATCACGACAATTTTAACAATATGTTTCTCTAACTCAATAACGATTGAGTAATAATTCTTCACTTCACATTCAGTACTGTAGCTTGGAAGTGCAGTAATGGGTACCGTTGCTACTACATTTACCATCTGACCATATGGTATAACATACATCTGCCAAGGAGGAAAGACATTCCATTACAATAACAAACAATATAGGCACAGTCTTAAGGCAGGTAAGACATCAATTAGATAACTTCTTTCTTTTAATTTATCCAAGTATTATCATGTAGCATATATATATATATCCTATATGATACTCGGCACTAATTTTTTAAAATATTTATTTATTTATTTATTTACTTTGGCTGCATCGGGTCTTAGTTGTGGCACACAGGAGCTTCATTGCAGCACGTGGGCTCTCTAGTTGTGGCCCTCGTGCTCAGTAGTTGCAGCACGTGGGCTTAGTTGCCCCCGCAGCATGTGGGATCTTAGTTCCTGACCAGGGATCAAACCCGCATCCCCTGCATTGGAAAGCGGATTCATAACCACTGGACCACCAGGGAAGTTCCTCGGCACTCATTTTGACACTGAAAACTCAAAGATGTGTGCAACTGGGTCTCTGGCCTGGAGCAGTGCACAACCTGGCAGGGGAAGTCATGAAGGCTAATAATTATCATAGGTCATAAGTGTAATAGAAGTGCATACAAGCGGTCACAGAAGTACAGAAGGAGAAACATACCCACCAGCTGGAATCCAGGTGATGAGGTCAGCAAATAATCACAGAGAAGATGGTCTTTGAGTTGAGTGTGAGGTCTTGGTAGGAAATACAGTGTGGTGGTTAAGAGAATAGAGTCTGGGGCTTCCCTGGTGGCGCAGTGGTTGAGAGTTCGTCTGCCAATGCAGGGGACACGGGTTCGTGCCCCAGTCCAGGAAGATCCCACATGCCATGGAGCGGCTGGGCCCGTGAGCCATGGCCACTGAGCCTGCGCGTCCGGAGCCTGTGCTCCACAACGGAAGAGGCCACAACAGTGAGAGGCCCGCATACCGCAAAAAA